TTTTGAGTGATGATTTTCTTCAAAATGTTGAGTTGTCTGTATAGTATATACTTCTAGAAAGTTTCAGTCTGATTCGAAGTAAAATGATTGTTTTAGATAAGAAAAAAAGAAAAATCATCTGTTTCAGTTTCGCTCAAAATTATTCATAAAAGTCATATAATGATGCGTGCAAATATTACGATGTTAGTGATTCTGCATTTTCCAATACCGTCATTTTCAGAACCGAAAGCCGTTTTTAACAGGAGAACACGTAATGCTTCGTGGAACATCTTTTTTGAGATGTTGCAGAGATCACATAAATTCTATATGTTCATATTTATTTACTATAAAATGTATGAATAAATTTGAGCACCACTATATATATATATATATATATGAATATATGATAGTTGAGCAAGTTGGATAAAGGCCAGATATGATATATACTAATATTAGGTAAATCGAATATGCGGCATATGATAACAAGCTAAATAATATTCAATACATCATGTCCGGCGAATCCATCATGGATTTCGCAGACATTTCTAACACTTACAAGTAGCATAGAACTGACTATCTGAATAGCAAGGGTTAGAGAAATATTTTATTTCATGGGTAATATTGAAATATTCTTGTGCCAACAACCATAAGACAGGTGTCACGTATTAGAAAGCGTATGTTACTGGTTTTTTTTTGTAACATACGATCCTTTGCAAAACAATCCTTTCTTGACTGAGTTTGTTCAGAATGTTGCCCTCATTTCAAATGTTTTCTCATTTTTCGATGGATTAATAATGTGCTACCAAACGCACTTCAACATGGGAAATTGTGAATCAGACACAATTAGGATTGATTGTAAAAAATCGATTCTGTCTAATTTTGATTTCTGATATACCAGGAAGTTCAATTAAGTGAAAGAAGAGAACTTTCATTATCAATTAGATCTTCGGGAAGCAGAAATGAAGCTTTCTTTTGACACGGGCAAATGTTCTATCAAAATACAGTTAACTGGACTGATTATACAATGACCTATCAGATCAAGACAGTGTGAAGTTTGAAAAGAGAGAACTCTAACTTCATACCATGAAAAAGTCTAACTGATAGGATATGAAATTATTCCTGGATCAATTTCTCAATGATAGGTTTGACCAAAACTGATATTCCGATCGCACATGGTTATTATGTAGTTGTCTTTTGATTTTCATAAAAATAAATCCAGACAAAAAAAAGGAAGATTGTCGGGCATGTTTCACTTGAGTAAAAAACTAAAACTTACCGTTCAAAGTTGCAATAGTCATGAATCCAGCAAAGTGGAAGACCCTGTTATTTGAACACATGATAGTGCTCATTACTAAAAATGCAACTTTTTCTGAAATTATATATGTGAAAATCGGGTAAAACAAACGACTACAGAGAAGAAAGAAACATACTTCACCCTAGAAATTTCTGCACAGCTTTCATGTCGATCACTATTTTGTAGCATGATTACGTCTAGAGAAGGTAACGAGTTTATAGAGATTTTTAAAACCTTTTCCTTTTGTACTGTCGGTTATGGCGTGCAATGTTTTGTGATTGCCATAGAATAAGGTTCGTATCGAATGAGATGAAAATTTTACTGAAAACAGAACTCATAATACTCCATATCTGAGAACAAGATGGATGAACCCATGAGGAGTCAAACACATTCTTGAAGAAATTAATCTAAAATGTCGGAGATTCAGCTTGTTTTCTACCATACTTTAATCAGAGTATCTCATCTGACTGTAAGATTTCAAGCTCAAATTTTGGCCATAAGTAGAGGGTTTCTAGACTAACATAATCTCAAAACAATTCGCATTTTTTATTGACTTTTGATCGGGATATTAATGCATCGTGACTTTCTATAACTTTAGCGTAAAACTCTTTCTTGTACTAAATACAAAAAAAAGATAAGATATCCTTATCAGATATTCCTAGAAAGTAAGCTAGGTAACTCAATGTTTCTAGGTAAGAATGAACGATTCTTTTCAGCAAGCTGTTTTCAGTACACTGTCGATCTAACCCAATTAAAAAAGTACGAAACTATTCTTACCTTCCAGGATATCAAATTTCCTATATGTTACGTTTGGTTAAGCGATGTTACGTTCGTTCATCAAAAAATTGTGACTAATATATTAAACGTCTTGTTCTGCTAATATTTTCTACAAACCAAAAGGAGTTCGCATTCTGTTGACTATAAATCTGTTCTCTGGATCAATTCACTACACAAAGAAAAAATGTGTTTCTATTTAGGAGAATGTTTCATTCTCTATTATCTACAATGATTATCGAAGTGAAATTCACATGATGGCTGATGATCAGCGCACTCGTGATGTATGGGTACAAGGTTTGCAACATCTAATCGATCAAAAACAAAGAAATGAACCGAGAAATATGAAGGAAGAGAAAAAGTAAGAAGCATATTAAACGTGGTTTCTTTGATTATTATTCTTCTGACTAGTTGGATTTTGAGTCAATTTCATGCGGCAGACAAAGACAAATCTGGCACATTGACGAAACAGGAATGTCGTCAGCTCTTCTGTGATTCACTCAATGCCAACATATCCGAACCAGTGTTCGAAAAACTTTTCAAAGTAGAGATTTATGACATGAGTACTGATCTTATCATATTTCTTTTTCTTCTATTCAGCAAGCAGACACGCGTAGTGATGGTCTTTTAAATGTGGATGAATTCATAACTATCTTTCATCTACTCATTCGTAGTAAAGAGCTCTATGAGGTTATGCAACAGTGAGCAAAATCAATAATTTTTCGTTCAATGAAGCTTCAGTATTCTAACATAGATATGTCAAAAATGGATACGAAACATCAATTGAAACAATTCAAATGACTGTCGACGAACTATTGTTTTTTCTTCAAAACAGTCAAAATGTAAGCTCATTAGTGATATTTGTGATGACTCTTATTAATAATATATTGATACCTATCTAGCAAAGAGTTCTCTTGCCACTGTTAAAAGATTCAAATGGTAAACTTTTCTATGAACGCATTAAAACACTCGAACAAGCACAACAAGTAATTAACGATTTTGAAATCGATAATGAACTTCGAGAAAATGGTCTTCTGAGTTTTAATGGTAAGTGTTCTTGTAAGTGAATAGTTCACTATTTCAAATCGTAAAATACTCTCTGATACAGAGGATTTCGAGTATCAAACATGCTTCACTGAGTATATGCTGCAAATACCTATTAACGATCATGAATTCCCAACTCATTCATAGGTTTTCGACGCATGATGTTGTCCAAAGATTTCGATCTGATGAAACCATGGTGTGTTTGTCAACCTTATCAAGATATGACTAGGTATGTAAGTGAAGAGAATCATCTTCCAATTTATAATATTTATTCTTCTGGTTTCAGACCATTAACCGACTACTTTATCAAGACTTCACATAATACGTATAATTAATATATACCATTCTTTCATATATCAGACTAAACTGATTTGATGTCCTAGGTATCTATTTGGTAATCAAGTATGGGGCGATAGTAATCCGGAAGCTTACAACAAATTACTGCGTACTGGTTGTCGCGCCGTCGAACTTGATTGCTACGATGGTGACAATGGACGACCTATAGTGAAACATGCTTATACACTTGTCAAACCATGTCTTTTTGAATCGATCATTCGTTTAATAAAACCGAATCTTTTCAGTAAATCACCGTAAGTAATGTCAATTATGTATGTAAATTTTAGTTCTCAACCAAGACTCTTCTACTGATAAATAATACATGTATATTATGATATTCGCTCAACTATGATTTTCTCTTCTCACAGATATCCAGTGATTCTTGATCTTGAAAATCATTGTTCGTTGACACAACAACAAGAAATGGTTCGCATCTTAGAACAAATTCTCGGAGGTGATAAAGAATAGAAATAACATGTTCTTGACATTTAATTTTGTTTTATAAAGACCAATTGATCACCAAACCGTTATTCTCAGATGATTCATTGGTTTTACCATCACCAAAAGATCTACAATACAAAGTGCTTGTTAGAGTAAGTAACTCTAGCTTTTTATAAGTAAATTCCAATGTCGTGTTTGATAGGGTATCAAACTGCCTACACCAACAACAATAACTAAATTATGGAGAGACCAAAAAGATGACGACAAATCTCTTGTTGATCCACAGAGCAAGTTATGTTTTATTTTTCTTCTTTATCATTATTTCATTTTTCAAAGACGTTTTTTAGATAGTTCAAAAGGATCTAGGCGATCTCTTTGTCAACCTTCAAAATGTTCCCTTTCGTGAATACGAATATGCCAAAACCAATTGTAAGTGGAATGTTGACTTTAGTCTTTATCAGATGTTTCCTTTGCCTATCATCAACAGATGTCTGTTATCACTCGCCAAATATCGCCGAAAATCATTTCGGACGAGCAGTACGAGATGAACCTGCCCGTGTAGTTCAACAAACAGCTACGACACTATGTCGATTGTATCCAAGTGGACTTCGGCAAGATTCAAGCAACCCTGATCCTATACTTCCGTGGAATTTCGGTCTGCAAATGGTTGCATTGAACTTCCAAAAAGATAATGAAACAACGGCACTTTGCTATGGAAAATTTTCTGACAATGGTGGTTGTGGTTATGTACTGAAACCGAATTATTTGATCGATGCAAATCGAACTCAATTCAATCCACTTGACTATAGGACAAGTCCATCTAATTTCTCAACAAATCTTTTCGAACAACCACAAACATTAATTATCACTATTATTAGTGCTCAATTTTTGTCACGATCGAGTGCAACAACTACTGACGTACCCGATCCGTATGTTCAAGTATCAACACATGGAATGCCATGCGATCAACAAGTACACCAAACACATGTTGTGAACAATAATGGACTAAATCCGATTTGGAAAGAAAAATTTCAATTTCAAATAAGTTTCCCACAAATGTGCCTTGTTTTATTTACTGTTTATGATCATGATGTTTTCACTAGTGATGATCGATTAGCTTACTTTTGTTTGCCAATGAGCACCATGCAGACAGGTATTTCAATGAATACGTTTTGCTGAACAAAATCGATTAAGACTGTTCAATTTTTGTTTTTACTTTAGGCTATCGTTATATACGATTGCGATCGAAAAACAATGATGTGACCAATTCAACACTATTCGTACATGTTCAAATTGAAGGCTGTGAAGAAGATGATTCTACAAGGCATGTATAAAAAAAGACATGATCTTATTGAAGTCATACTAAATAGGATTTCAATTTCTTTTTTAATTAGTTCGTTTATAACAGTTACTTTATATTTACTTTCGATGTATTTTTTGCATAGAACTCATT